ATGCTTTTTTTTTTTTTTAATCAGAGTCTCACTATGTCGTCCACGCTGGAGTGCAGTGGCACGTTCATGGCCACCGTAGCCTTGATCCTTCCATCTCAGCCTTCCAAGTAACTGGAACTATAGGTGTATACCACCACACCTGGCTAATTTTTTAAATTTATTGTAGAGACAAGGTCTCACCAAGTTGCCCAGGCTGGTCTTGAACTCCTGGGTTCAGGTAATCCTCTCACCTCGGCCTCCCAAAGTGCTGGGATTACAGGCTTGAACCACTGTGCCCAGACCCATTACACTCTTAACAGGTTACACTACTGTCACTCTGTACAGTACATTACATAATGACACTGCTACCCATTTTCACCCTTCCTTAGCTTTGTTCTTATTGTTTCCTCTGTCTGGAATGCCCTTCCTTCTTTTTCAATCAAATAAGTCATTCTTTAAAACCTAATTTAAAGGCCAATCTCACCCTCTTATGACAGAAGTAACTACTCTCTCCTTTGAGCAACTATAGTACTCAATTTATTGAATCTGGCATTTGTCACACTGCCTTTCACTTTCCTGAAGTATGTCTTCCAAATTAGATGGTAATCTCATTTTTATAGCCCTCTTTCCTACAATGCCTGGCAGATAGTAAAAATCCTCAGTAAATGCTTGCTGAATAAATGACTAAATTAATGGTTGATTTAGCCCTACCAGATTCCTAGAAAAAATTACTTTAATTAAACTTTGACAAGAAATCTAGGAGTATTTAATTACCTTGAAGTCTTAGCATGGCAACCCAAGTACATACATATGCAGATCTTAGAAGGTTCTAGATCTGAAAAATAGGTAGAACTGTTTTCAACATCTGGTTGTAGTATGTAAAGTTCTGGAGCACGGGGGCCTTGTCTGTGTGGAGATGCTTCGCTTGGTGCTTAAAGTAACAGTAAAGATACTCTGCCTTATTATTTGATAATGATAACTATGAATAATTCCAGAGGTCCAAGAAATCTGTCAGCTGTTTGTCCTAGAAAATAGTTGCAGCCAGACAGGCTCGGTGGCTCAGCCTATAATCCTGCGCCTTGGGAGGCTGAGGTGAGTGGACTGCCTAAGCCCGCGGGTTCGAGACCCACCTGGGCAACTTGGCGAGACCTCATCTCTACAATAAATCAGCCACTGCACTCCAGTCTGGGTGACAGAGTGAGACTCCAACTCAAAAAAAAAAAAAAAAGATATACAACCTGAAATATAAAGCTTTCTTCATGGCTCCACTAAGTGTGCTCTCCTCCAGGGAGCTTTGCCCAAACTATCCAGGCTGGTTTGAGTGCTTCTCCTATTTGCTCTCACAGCAATTTGTGTCTTCCTCTAGTGGAGCAGGTATCACATTATAAATAATACTTAAATAAATAGTCTCTTTCACTAGAACATAGATCCTTTGGTGGGGTAGGAACTGTATTTGTGTTCCTGGTATGTAGGACAGTGCCAATTAAAGGTCTGCTCAATAAATTAAAGCTTCCGAAAAGGTCAATATCGCATTATAATGACCTTCATGGCAAGCACCAAGAGAAACCCAGTCACTTAATATATTTGATTGTTAGTAGCTAAAATATGTCAAACACCCTAAATACAGCATCCTGCCTTTTCTAAGAATTGAGCTTATTGCTTGTAGACTTTTGAAAAGATTGGGTAAATGCTTATAATCCTAGAAATTTGGAAGGCCCAAGCCGAGTAGTCCTAGCTACTCAGGATGCTGAGGCAGGAAGATCACTTAAGCCCAGGACTTTGAGGTTACACTGAGCTATGACAGAGCCACTGCAGTCCAGCCGGGGCAACAGAATGAGACCCTACCTCTTAAAAAAAAGACTATTGCCGAAGCCCAGCAGTCAGGGCTGCAGTGGCCGCTCCCGGCCTGTAATCCCATGCTTTGGGAGACTGAGATGGATGAATCGCCAGAGCCCAGTAGGTCAACGCTGGGGTGGCCGTGAGTGTGCCACTGCACTCCAGCCTTGGCAACAGAGTGAGACTCCAACTCAAAAAAAAAAAATAAAAAGACTGTGTTTGAAAAAGCTTTAACTCAGAAAATCAAACCTGTACTGGATTAAAAAAAATGTGGCACATATACACAATGGAATGTTATGCAGCCATAAAGAAGGATAAAATTATGAGCTTCGCAGCAACTTGGATGGACTTACAGTCTACAATACTGAGTGATCTATCACAGAAACAGAGAACCAAGTATCACATGTTCTCACTCATAAGCAGACCATGAACAATTATTATAATACTATAAGAAAGGGATCGGCAGTAGTGGGAAGCTGCCAGGAGAGGGCAGGGTGGGATTGGCAGTAGTGGGAAAAAAAATGCATAAAGAATATTTCACATGGTTCCAATTAAAAAAAAAAAAAGAAGAAGAAAATCAAACCTGTACTTATATACATATGTATCTTGTTTGTTTTGTTTATTTCACAACCCTCTCTAGGACACACAACTATCTTTTACCTACTTTTACACATTGATTCTAATTCTTCAACTGCTTGTTCAGCCTCCTGAATTTCTTGGTAAATGGCTGCAAGTGGTGCCAATTCAGCATGCCTTCGGTTCAAGGACCTTTGGTTCTCTTCATTCACAGGGATATGCTGCAAACATTGTTCAAGTGTTTGGTACTCCTCATTCAGGTCCTCCAAATATTTCTGGAATGCTTTATGCTTCCAGAGCATCTTGGTGTCTTGATGACAATATCTCCTGGACCAATTCTTATTTGACAGATGATGGAGAATGTAATTCCTGTTTGGTCTAAAAATCCACAGTCTTGTATCAAGAGGTGTCTGTCCACATTGATGAGAATGGAGGTGGATATGATGCCGGGGGTAACCATTTAGAGATGGATGTCTAAAAAGCCAAACACACAGGTGACGATTCATCTCAGCATCTGAAATATAATAAACATAAGCTGAAAAATATCAACTCTAAAGATACATGGCATAATAAAGTTGGAAGAAACTTAAAGAAATTGTTTTTAGTTTACTGCCTCAGCCAGCTCCAACCAGTCCCAAAATTCAACAAATCAGCACAAAAAATAATTATTCAAACCTCTGCATAATGACATTAGGATAAATAAAAACCAGGCTGGGGCAGTGGCTCATGCCTGTAATTCCAGCATTTAGAGAGGCCGAGGTGTTTGAAACTAGCTTGGGCAACTTAGTAAGATCTTGTCTCTACAATAAATAAAAAAATTAGCCAGGTGGGATAGTGCATGCCTGAGGTAGAAGGATCACCTGAGCCCAGCAGGTGGAGGAAGCAGTAACCTTGAGTGAGCCACTCCAGTCTAGGCGACAGTGAGACTCTGACTCCAAAAATAAATATATAAGGTAGTTTTCTACCCACTCAACATATGTAATTAACTAAAGCAAATGGGTAGGAGCACAATCAACAAACATATTCATTGAATGGGTTAAATCAGCTATTTTCTAGAAAGTATCCAGAATCTAGAATTGAGAGTGTAAACAAGATTTGAAAGTCATGAAATGATCACGCAATCTTTAGGTAGTTCACATAGTCATACATTTCTAAAGTTTAAAGAAAATATCAACAATTATGTTGTCTATTTAATTTTACATATGTCCAAGGAAGTCAAGTAACTTAATCATGACTATTCGCTCAGTAGGATGGGAATGGAGCTGGTATTAGAAGGCTTAAGCTGCCAGTTCAAGGCTTGGTAGTTTTCATTTCCAATAAGGTGCTTTTCTTTTAGCTGACATCCTACAACTTCAAATATTAATAGACCAAGAAAGGTCTGGTGAAAAAGGGACAGTGGTGAGAATTATATTAAATGAAAAAAAGCAGCAGACAAAATACTAGACTCTCAATCATGCCTTTAAAAAATTCTATAAGCCGGGCTCGGTGGCTCAGCCTGTAATCCCGCGCCTTTGGGAGGCTGAGGTGAGTGGATTGCCCGAGCCCGCGGGTTCGAGACCCGCCTGGGCAGGCGAGACCTAATCTCTACAATAAAATAAAAAAATCAGCTGGGTGTGGTAGCGCGCGCCTGTAATTCCGGCTCCTTGGAAGGCTGAGGCGGAAGGATCGCCGGAGCCCAGCAGGTCAAGGCTGTGGTGGCCGGGAGCGGCCACTGCACTCCAGTCTGGGCGACCGAGTGAGACTCCAACTCAAAAAAAAAAAAAAAATTCTATAATATGTAGTATACACAATAGAAAAGTAAATAAATTTTTTTTGAGACCACCGCAGCCTCGACCTCCAGCGATCCTTCCGCCTCAGCCTTCCGAGTAGCTGGAATTACAGGTGCGTGCTACCACGCCCAGCTGATTTTTTTTTTATTATTTATTGTAGAGATGAGGTCTTGCTGCTCAGGCGGGTCTCGAACCCGTGGGCTCGGGCAATCCACTCACCTCAGCCTCCCAAAGGCGCGGGATTACAGGCTGAACCACCAAGCCCGGCAAAGTAAATAAATTTTTAAAAAGAAAACTAGATAAGAAATATACCAAAATGTTAGCAAGATGCTCTAGTTGTAGGATTATGAACACTTTTGCTTTTTTCCCCCTACTTTGCAGTGGTTTTCCAAGTCTTCTATACATATAACATGTACTATGGTCATAATCAGAAAAAAGAAGTTACTTTAAAAAATTACAGGTTGGCCAGGTATAGTGGCTCAAGCCTGTAATCCCAGCACTTTGGGAGCCAAGGTGAGAGGACTGCCTGAGCAGGGTTCGAGCATGGCCTGGGCAACTTGGCAAGACCTCATCTCTACAATAAATAAAAAAATTAGCCGAGTGTGGGAGTGCACACATGTAGTTAAAGCTACTTGGATGGCTGAGGTAGAAGGAGCGTCCAGCAAATCGATGCTGGGGTGACCATGAGTGTGTCACTGCACTCCAGCCTGAGAAAAAGAGTGAGACTACAACTCAAAAAAAAAAAAAAAAAAAATACAGGTTAGGTGAAGTTGACTGCACAATAATTATGTTTTCCTCTCTGAGATAATCAAGAGCGAACAAAAGTACACAATGGTTTTATTGAGTAGAAAGGGAAAACATAAAGCATTCTAAAAAAAACATTTTGCCCCTAAAATCTCAAGATTCAAAGTTGAACTAAAGGTCAAGCTTAGTATGGCAGTATGCCTGCAGTCCCAGCTACCTGGAAGGCTGAGGGAGAAGGATGGCCTGAGCCCAGGAGTTGGAGATTGCAGTGAATTATAACTGAGACACCGCACTCCAGCTTGGGCAGCACAGTGAGACTTCATTTTAAACAAAGGAAGGAAGGTTTCAGCTACTTGGAAGGCTGAGGTGGAAGGATCACCTAAGCCCAGCAGGTAGAGGCTGTGGTGGCTGTGAGCATGCCACTGCACTCCAGCCTGGGTGACAAGAGTGAGACTCCAACTCAAGGGGAGAAAAAAAAAAAAAAAAAAGGAAAGAAGGAAGAATGAGAGTCAAAATTATTTATCAGAACCAACCATCAACCTTTACTCTTTCCAGAAATCCTACCATGCTAGGAGGTGCATTCCTATATTAGCTCATTTGATCACTGTAAGTCTGGTAACTTAGCATTATCACCTAGGAAATAAAATATTTAGAATCGTCTCTAAAATATTCAAAGTTTGCAGGGCTCCCTTGGCAGATTTTAACATAGTGAAAAACATTTGAAAAGAACTGTAGGAAAACGCACCAATGCCCAGATGCCACAAACTATATACTCCCCCTTTCCCTCGATCCCGAGTGGCTTTACATCTAGTTTCAAGCACATCCGAGGAGGTGTGCCCATTTGACAATCAACAGAAAAAACGATGACAGATTTTTTGCACGAATATTTATCGCTAAAATTTCCACTTGAGGAACAGTAGTAGAATAAATAATCTCAAGGTCATGAATCTTAACATTAAGGAAAAAATCCAAGACGTTTACTCTCCCGGGTTAGCTATACTTGAGCGCAGTAAGACCCACCACATCACAGTATCACTCCGAAACTTTAGGAAAAATTCTCGATGTCTGCACGTTGGAAGTCACTAAGCTCGCGGAGGAGCAGCACGTGCAAATCATCCTGAGTAACTCGACGTAAGGAGGGATTCCACAAGGAAAATACACGGGGAAAGAAACCGAGAAAAGATCAGGAAAGAAATGCAAGTACCTAAGGTAAACAGCAAAGGACGTTAGCGTGCCTTACTGAGGCCGGAACCTTCCGAGACCTACTACAGTTCAACCCCGCCACCCGAAAACGCTTTCACTTCCTGGGTGGATCACTCTTTCCGGGTTCACGCTTGCTCCCGGCCCCTCTTCCGTCTCGACCCTTTTCCAAAGGCGTAGTCCTAGGGCATGAGTAACACTGAGCTTTAAGTGACGCAATCAGCTAAATGAGAAAAATGGCAAAGCGAGAAATTCTCGTGAGACTACCACGCGCCGTTCTTATTCCGAGCGGGAGACTAGGATGTAGGTGGAGGTGGTGGCAGGGACAGAGAAGCGGAAGCGGGGATGGACTACCAAGCCCAGGAGCTCCCACAAGGAATCCTGGGAGTTGTAGTTTTCCCAGAGGCAGCCCCGCCCCCGCCCCCGCCCTCCGCCCGGCCCAGTTAAACCAGAGTCCCCGTAGTCCTGGTTAAGAGCTCAAGAGTTCCAATATGTTACAGTGAAATTACAAGAATTTTCTTATATATTGGGAGCCCTTAAGCATTGCTTTCTGATTTTTTTTTAAAATGTAGTCTACAGGTGCGGTGACTCATGTCTATAATCCCAGCACTTTGGGAGGCCGAGGTGAGAGGATTGCCTGAGCTCACGGGTTTGAGACCAGTCTGGACAGCTTGAGGAGGCCTCATCTCTACAATAAATCAAAAATAAATAAAAAAATTAGCGGGCCGTGGTGACGCATGCCTGTAGTTCAAGCTACTTGGAAGACTGAGGTGGAAGGATCTCCTGAACCCAGCAGGCCGAGGCTGTGGTGGACGAGAGCGTGCCCCTGCACTCCAACCAGGGCAACAGAGTGAGACTCCAATTAAAAATAAAAATACATGTAGTCTTCATTTTCATCATCAAAAGATGTAGGAGATTCATCCAGGCGCGGTGGCTCATGCCTGTAATCCCAGCATTTGGGAGGCTGAGGTGAAAGGATTGCCTGAGCCCAGGGGTTTGAGACCAGCCTGGGCAACTTGGCCAGACCGCATCTCTACAATAAATCAACAAAATTAGCCAAGTTGGTGGCGCACACCTGTAGTTCCAGCTACTTGGAAGGCTGAGGCCGAAGGATCACCTGAGCCCAACAGGTCAAGGCTGTGGTGGCCATAAATAAAGAAAGAAGAATTTAGGGAATTCTGCATGTTAATTGCCGTACTTTTCGCTTTCAATGCTTCAGAAAATACCTAATGACTAAAGAAGACTATAAATCTGTATTTTAAAAAGTCCTAACAGGATCCAAAAGATAGGAGATGGTATATATTTCCACGAATCAGTGATTTCATAATGTTGCATTTGCATATGAAATGTAGGGAATCAACCTAGATTCATAGCTTGTGAACCACTGGTGAAATAAACAGGCCGGGCTCGGTGGCTCAGCCTGTAATCCCAGCACTTTGGGAGGCCGAGGTGAGTGGATTGCCTGAGCCCGCGGGTTCGAGACCCACCTGGGCAACTTGACGAGACCTCATCTCTACAATAAATTTTTAAAAAACGAGCCGGGCGTGGTAGCGCGCGCCTGTAGTTCCAGCTACCTGGAAGGCTGAGGCGGAAGGATCGCCAGAGCCCAGCAGGTCGAGGCTGCGGTGACCGGGAGCGGCCACTGCACTCCAGTCTGGGCGACGGAGTGAGACGACAACTCAAAAAGAAAAAAAAGTTATTTGTAGGCCGGGCTCGGTGGCTCAGCCTGTAATCCCGCACTTTGGGAGGCCGAGGTGAGTGGATTGCTCTGAGCCTGCAGGTTCGAGACCCACCTGGGCAACTTGGCAAGACCGCATCTCTAAAATAAATCAAAAAATCAACCCGGCATGGCAGCGCGCGCCTGTAGTTCCAGCTACTCAGAAGGTGGAGACGGAAGGATCGCCGGAGCCCAGCGGGTCGAGGATGCGGTGGCCGGGAGCGGCCATGGCACTCCAGTCTGGGCGACAGAGTGAGACTCCAACTCAAAAGAAAAAAAAAAGACGTTTTCTTTTTTTTTGAGACGGAATCTCACTCTGCCGCCCAGGCTGGAGTGCAGTGGCATCGTCACGGCCACCGCAGCCATGACCAGGCTATCCTTCCGCCTCAGCCTTCTAAGTAGCTGGGACTACAAGTGTGTGCCACCACGCCCAACTAATTTTTTTTTCTTTATTGTAGAGATGAGGTCTTACCAAGTTGCCCACGCTGGTCTCAAACCCGTGGGCTCAGTCAATCCTCTCACCTCGGCCTCCCAAAGTGCTGGGCTTATCGGCCTGAGCCACCGCACCTGGCGACATTCTTTAATGTTTGGTTGAAAAGAGCTTTCATAGTTTAAAAACAAACAAAAAACTACTTACTTGCCTAATAGGTTGTTATGTTAAAAAAAAAAAAAAAAAAACTTCCAAAGAGTATGATATCATGAAAAAATTAAAATTTTCAGAAATAGTAATACAAATGATTGGGTAAAAAAAAAATAGTATTTTGATTAAATTAGCAGAGTGCCCATGCCTGAAACATTTCTCACAGTAGAATCGACTATAAACAGTTTATTTGTTGAATGCATTTGTCATGATACTGACAATTTGTTATCCCTTTGAGAA